AACTCCCAGGTGCTGTCTGGATCGCTGGCTCCTTTAGGAGGGTTCGGGGGCTCCTGAACTCAAATGAGCTTCCCGTAGAGAAGCTCTTTGCAAGGGGCTTGATTTGGACCCCCTCCCGCAAGCGGCAGCAAGCGAGCGGATGGTCTGAATTTGCCCCAACGCAGCAGCCAGCTGAGAGCACCCATGTCTGACATGGGCACACAGTCGTGACTGCCCGGCAGGAGGGGACAAGATGGAACCTCATCCATACCATCTGTCACAGCTCAGGTGGGGTGTCACCTGATGCTGCCACCACTCTGGATTTAGGTTCCCTTGAGAAGGCCCAGAGTACCCTCCCAAGACCTTCAGACCTCCCTTTTGGCTGAATAACAGGTGTGAGGACCAGGCAGAGTGAAACAAGGAAAAGGTTTATTTTGTAGGAGGTCAAACACCAAGGTACAGAATAATAACAGTAAGTGGGTGAAAAGAAAAGAAATCAAACGCCCTAACGCGTCTAAATATATACTGTCCCTAGCTCACTATTCCAAGTGACACTAGACTACTCACCCTTCCCTCAGGATGAGGATCTCTTCCCTGCAGCAGCCTTCCTTCTGGCTCTGCCCTCTGGGAAGAAGAACAGCTTTTGCTCTGGCACCAGCTTTTTTGTTCCCCAGCCCTCTTCTTCCCTATTGGTCAATTTTGGCTCCAAAACCTCTCAGGGGCTTCTGGGAGTTGTAGGCCCAGCCTCACCTACTGCTAGCCAGGCTCCCTGGGCCTAGTAGGCCTCTGGTGGCACAGCCCAGATCATGACACCATGGAGGAAGTACAACACTGTGAGTACATTGTAAAGCAACTTCAGAGAGTCTACCATATATCGTGAAGGCCCCTTAAAGTTTAAAGACATTGGAATGGAGGGGTGAAGAATTAACTTCCTGCCCCCCTCGTTCCTTTCCGGCAGCTATGAGAAGAATTCAAAGCAACTGTATTTATTTCCATAACGGGCCTTTTTCCTAGTAATGGAAATATTAGATATTAACTTAAAACCGTGTTCAGAAATTTATCTATTAAATAGAATTCCCAATGGCTATCAGGAAAATGATGTATATTTATTAACTTACATTCTCACAACAGCTAGAATACTAATAGCAAAGTATTGGAAAAAAGAAAAAATCCCAACGAAAGAGAAAATAGCTATGAAACTATAAGAAGTGGCAGAAATGGACAAACTGAATGTAATATTGGAAGGAAAGGATGATAAAATATTTCAGAAAAGATGGTTTAGAGTACATAAATGGATTGAGGGGAAAAGTTAAAAATAGACTCATAAAAGATGTATGTATATATTATCAATACATGTTTGAATATGTTATGATAAATAATAAATAAAAAGTTTTTTAAAAAAGAAATAAAGGTGTTAAGGGGAAAAAAGAGATCTTATGACACTGCATTGTAAAATCTTGGCCACCATGCTGGAGAAGGAGAAGTGGCTGCCCACTGCCATATGAACTAGGTGAGTGGGGAAGGAGGAGAAGTGGGAAGGGGAGGGGGAATGCTGCCCCACCTCTGCCTTCACCACGTGAGCTAGGCAGGCAGAGGTGGTGTCCCTAAGGAAGGCAGTACAGCTAACCAAGTGGGTAAGTGGGGAGGGGGAAGTAGGTCCCCTACTTGTATTAATACCATTAGCTCCAAAGGAAAGATCAGCTTCTTGTACTTGGTAAATACACTTGCCACCATCTTGTTATATCTTATGTAGCTGTCTGCCCCGAAAGGAACGGGGTGGGGGCTTAATGAAAATACTGAGTCCTAGCAGCAGGTGATTCACTACCCATATTAGGTAGAGAGCTGATTTAATTTCACTGTAATTAAAAAATAATTTGCATTATTGGTTTAAAGTAATTAAACACTCTGAGAATATTGCATTATCGCTTTCAAAAAATCCAGATATTAAAAGTGGGGTTTTCCCCTACTGGGATGAACTTCCAAATTTAGGGGAGGGGAATTTCTACTGGGGAAAATGTGTTTGGGAGGGGTTCACCTCCTACTTGAGTTTCATGGGCTGATCCAAATTGGGTCCCACCTTTGGCTGCTATTTATTGTTATGGTACAGGTTGGGAGAGAACTAATCACAACCCCCCAGTTTAACATGTAGTTTGGCCCTCAGATGCCACTTCTGAGAATCTCATTTAGCAGAGAATCTCATCTGAGAATCTCTCTGAGAATCTCATTTAGCAGAGAATCTCATTTAGCAGAGAATCTCATCTGCATTGACCTTTACATTAAAAAAATATCATGGGCTTATTTTAGAGTTATTTTTCACGAATGACACCATGATAAGGAAATTCAGCAGGTAATGGGTTTTCTGTCCCTTTAGCTCCATGCTGGCAAACACTTCCTTCACTAGTTTTGTTTTGTCAAAACATAATCCTCTGTCATTGCTTGCTATGCTTACCTTCCATTCTCTTCTTTTTGTTTGTTGCCTATGGTTATCTGAATGTCAGTTCACAGTCTTTAGAATTGTTTGCATATGGAGCCTTCTGACTCATGTGAAATGGTCATGGGGAATGGCACAGGCTGTGGGGTTAATCCCAGTCCTATAGCTCTGTACAGATGCCAAGATGCCAAGGAGAACAGAACTCCCATGCCTTTAATAGTTATGCAAGAAGTATTTGGGAGGGGCAACAGTACAGGTTGTCTTTCAGGGATAAGAAAAGCTTTACCCACAGAGAATCTCTCTTCTATGCTATATTATGGATACAATAGTCTTATGGATAAAAGAGTCTGGTTCTTATTTGCATCTGGTCACACAAACCCTACAATTTTTAGTTCTTGGATGGGATTTTTCACTAGGTAAATGCTGTGCTAAGCCATTCCCTTTCTATACGGTTCGTTTGTGTCAGAGTATGTTCTCATTCCTAGGAAGAGGCAATATGCAAAATGGCAAGTGAGAACTTTGGACAGGTTTGCTTCTGTTGACTTAGTCCAGCATTAACCAAAGCTGGACAATTGTTGTCATGCTGCCCCTTTTAGAAGTCTGAACATTTTCTGTTGGAATTCTGCAAATGTGCCAAGAAACACTTGAAGAACCAGGGAGAGTTCATGTTCCAGTTTCTGCCTTTCTCTTATCATGAGATAACTTTCCGAAGAGCAGAGCAAGCTGGGAATTTAAGAGGTGGAGCTATATTTAAAAAAAACACTAGAATATGAGTGGGGAGTCAAACAGATGCATAAGAGCAAGTTAATTCTGTCTCAGGAATACAGAAGGACAATGGTGGCCTATAAAAGCTTAAAGCAATTCTTTTAAATACAGTGTCAAGTGATAATTCCTTTAAATCTGAAAGACCAAACATGAAACACTCGGAAGAGAAGACTGGTTTTCTAAAGCCTTTGTATTGTTTTCAGAGTAGAAGCAATCTTTGCACAATCTCTTTTCTTTTAATTTTATTAGATTTCTTACCAATTAAAAATAACAAAACAAACCCTCTGGATGGGGCATGGTAAGACAGGGCAACTAAAAGATAAATGTAAGATAATGTCACTATTGCAACGTAATGAAAATGGATGCAAATACTCTAACTGTAGATATTTAACACTGGAGACTGAGACTGAAGTCACATGTGCATTTACTTAGTGCTTTTTTATCCCATCCAAGGAGCTCAGGGCAGGATAAATGGTGTTCTTCTCCACCATTTTATCCTTACAACCACTCCATGGGGCTGGTTAGTCTGAGAAAGAGAGAGAGTAGCCCAAAGCAATGCTGTTAGGTTTTATGGCAAGCAGGAATTTGAATCTGAACCTGCCTGCTCCTCGTCCTAGTCCAGCACTCTGATCACTACACCACACTGGCTGTCTTTGCAAAGCACAAGAAGGCTGACTGGATGACGCAGGAAACTTGCTGAAGCTAAATAAGGTCTGGGTCTGGTCACTGCCTGGGAACCATGCACGCCCCCTTGAATTCTGTTTCACAATAAATGCTGGAGATAAATGATGTAACAAAATACTATCTCATTGTGTGGCTGTCAATAATTTCAGAAACTGGGTATAAGCACATTTAAACCACCTTTCTGTTTTTCATATATGCCCACCGACAATGTGAGAGGTCTTGAAAAGCACCTAGTGGCATGTGTCAGTTTAGTCTAATCCTGTGCAAACAGAGCTTTTACTTGGCCGAATATTCAAAATCTGAAATTAAAATTCAGGAAAGTCAAGATGTTTTTCAGTACTGCACATTTCTAGTTCAGTAGCGTATTCAAGGCTGAGCACATTAGCCCTTCTTTTGACAGGCCTATTTGTGCTCATAATTTCAATAATCCTCTTCACAACACCATCATAATTAGCAACAGATTACAGCTTCAGAAATAGACGGTCTTATTTTCTTTTCAGGGTGAGGCAAAGGTTGGGCATTTTCTGTTCCAGGAAAGAGGCACCAGGAGTGTCCCTAATGTGGTTGGGTTGGAACAGTTACTCATAAGTTCATGTAGAAACCACCCACCCGCCCTGCGGAGAAGTTGCTAATCACAGCTAACCTTACTATTATGCAACATGTATGTATCTGAAGAAGCGTGCATGCACACAAAAGCTTATACCCAGTATTAAACTTTGTTGGTCTTAAAGGTGTCACTGGACTCAAAACATTTTTCTATTGCTTCAGACCAACACAGTTACCCACCTGAATCTATTATGCAACATGAAACAGTTGCTTGTGGCTGCAAGTTCCAGGGGAGGCATCCTTTGCCTGGCTTCAGTCTTTCTATGATTTTAAATCCTGATACCATTCTTGTTCTAGAAAATGTGATGGGTATCCATACATGCCCTGGTTTTCCAGATTGTCAGAACGGCTGTCCTGTCTATTCCTATTTAACATTTTTAAATAACAGCAGTAAGCTCAATACTGAACAGAAATTCTGTCAAAAAGATTTCATTATCTTGGGGGATAGTATATTGCAAGGTATGTAGAAATAGATTAGCCTCCTAGTTTTATGATCCACTGTGATGCTGATTTATTCCTTTTTTATTTTGGGCAGTTCGAGGAAACCTTCAGCCATGGTTGCAGGGTCTCATTGCACTGACTGTGTTCTTGGTGTTGACAGGGATTGCCTTTATTGTCCATAAATTCTGGTGCCAGGATAAAGAGTAAGTGCTGTCTTTCCTTTTTTCCAATCATACAAAGAATGTTGAGGCAACTGTTCTGCCCCTCCTTTTCTGTCATAATTTGCTGGTAGTCAAGGAGCTGGCATAGAAGTTATGCACAAAAATACACATGGCCTGCTCTTTTCTTGTTCATGTTTTATGGGACCTATTGACTTGGGAAAGTGACATTGTTTTGCTATGCGTTCTGACCTTGAGACAACAGCCCTAAGTCAAAATATTGACTTAAAACATTCCTATCTCAGTTTCTGAGACAGTAATGATGACATAATTGTGAAACAAAATCTGAATGGAAATGAAAGTCTGTTAGTATTTTAATGGCACAAGTAAAATATCAGGCCATGATATAAATACACACAAATTTTAAAGCCGAATACAAATGGATTAGATCTAACCAAATTTTCTGCTGTCAAAAAAGGAGAGGTGTCCTTTGACCACTAAAAGGCTTTGCTGGGGCTCATGGGACCTGCTGGGGCTCATGGGACCTGCATGGACAAAAGCTAAATAGGACAGGAATTGTAGAAAGGATGAGAATTGGGCAAGATTGAACAAAAAATCTGACTGGATCCAACCCATAGTGAAATGATTTAACTTTTTGACAAAAATAGAATGCCACCACAAATTTTGTGTCAAATAATTTTGCTGAAATACATAAATTGGATTGTGGACAATCTTTCATTAAACAGACAATAATAGTTCTATCCAGGTTTATACCCTTTTATGTTCATTGAAGTCAATCAGCTTAGCAGGATGTCACTCTACTTAACAGTGCACTGTAAATAAACAACATTTAACACTTTTTCTGAAACAGCCATTCTTTAGCCAGTTTACACTTCTTGCATGTACATCAATGCGCCCTCTAAGCTGTGGAGTCTTGTGAGCAAAAATTTTACTTTGTGAGCTACTGGCATTAAAGCTGTGAGTGAGCAATTTGGCTACTGAATAAATTAGCGTGCTCTGGAGCCATTCTTCCTGAGCTAAGACAAAAATGTGTGAGCCAGAGGCTAAAAAAACTGTGAGTTAGCTCACACTAACTCAGCTTAGAGGGAACACTGATGTACATCTATCATAAAGGTCAGGTGGATATGAATGAGAGGTCATAAATGTGAATCTTGTTGGGTTTCATTCAGATGGTAACCATGGCTGAACCAGAATTGTCTGGGTCCCATAGTTCTTTATTTTTCTTCTGCTAGACCAGTGTCTAATAAAAATTACAAAAGAAACTGCAGCAAGATTTTATATAGTGGTCAAATGAGACATGAAAAGGTATCTTGCATATATTTCTATCACACACAAAATCTATCCTTCTGGACTTCAATTTTTTTAATGTATTACTTTTAACAGGAAAGATCCAGAGGTCTTCAAAGGGGGCAGCAAGGGAGACATGGCCATTTCCAATGGTACAGAAGGAAATTATTCTACAACTGCTGCAAATTTCAGGTTAGGATCCTTTCCTAATACAGCAAAAACATTAACATGAAGCAAATTATATGACACTTGTTGAGAAAGTGGATTTCAGACTAACCTTTGAGAACCTTCATTTCTTTTGTCTTATTTACTTTGACTGATTTTCTGTCAATTTATAGTGCCTTGTAACCTGAACTGACCCCGTGGCAAATATTTGTGTGTGTGTGTATCTCCTTATAGATAATTCCATTTTGATTGTGGACTTTCCCCACATGTTTCCAAATCAGTAGGCTCCCTGATGTGTCACTCACAGGTGTTTCCATCTACTGGTGGATGCATTGCTTTATTCCCACCCACCCTCCCACCCACCCACAGAACTGGCACCCAGCCTCTCAGCCTCAGTATGCTGGGAGGTGATGTATGGGGTGGATGCTCCACTGGGTGAAGGGGGTCTTTGTCAGCTGTGGATGCCTGCAGGTGGCCGGGTGGGCAGGGAGCATCTGAGAGGACACCAGAGGTGGCCGGACGCGGGGACTGAGCCTGCTCCTGGTAGCACCGCAGTGGACTTCGACGGCCGCGGATGCCTGCAGGTACCCGGGTGGGCAGTGAGTGGCCCGGAAGCTGCCAGAGGTGGCTGGGTGTGGGGAACACTCCAGTGGCCGGGGCCTCATGATGCTGCAGGCGGCAAGCCACCAAGAGGCCATCAGAGGTGGCCAGGCACGGGGGATGCTCCGGCAGCTGGGGCCTCATGATGCCGATGCTGATCATGCCTGTAGGCAGCCGGGTGGCCGGTGCGCAGACAACAGGGGGGAGAAGCCAGCCAACAAGGGGGCTGAGGTCAACATCCAGGAGCTCCATGGCATGAGTCCTCGACCCAGAGGGTCTTGCTAGAGCTCATTGTATTGATTGTACAACGAGCTTTGCTACTAGTATGTGTATGTATGTATGTATGTATGTGTATGTATGTATATATATATGTATATATATATGTACTAGGGAGCAAAGCCCATTGTGGACCTGTCCGGCGGGGCGGGTGGGTTGGCGAAGGGGGCGGGTGGGGGAGGGAGGGAGAGAGAGAGAGAAAGTGGGGGGGGGAGAGAAAGGAAGGAAGAAGGGAGGAAGCAGGAGGGGGCGCAGAAGATCCTCCCATCCATGCGGCTTCCAAGGGGGGCAAGAGAAGCGGCGCGGGTGGGTATATGAAATTTTTATGCCACCTCTCCTGGGGAACCTGCCCGAGGTTCCTTACAAAATAACATAATAAAACATAACTGTGGCTGTCTGGTCAATCTTGCAGGGCCCAGGCAGTGTCAGGGGATTCCAAAATAGCCTGGCTGGACAGAAAGATGGCAGGGCCAAGAGGGATGCCAGGATGCGATTTGGAGAGCTGAGCCTGCTCTGATGGTGCCCAACATTTAAAAATGGCCCAGAGAAGGCTGTGGTAGGAGACGAAGCTGTCCGTCTCTGCAGCAGGGAAGCCTTGAGGAGATGTGAGCAGAGGAGGAGGAAGAAAAAGGAGGGGACGAGGTCATGAAGGCACAGGGCAGGCAGCCATGGAGGTATGAGAGGAACTCTGAGGAAAAGGCAGCTAAGGGAGGTGCACCAGTGGGAAGGCCAAGGAGGATCCCCAGGGACTGACCCTTCTTAAAGGGACCAGAACCCAGTCTGAGGCCATGGGCAAAGGTCACAACAAAATTAAAAGTTATACATTTAAACCCTGCATAAAAAAAACCAGCCAGAGAATACAAAACAAATAATGAGACAGCTTAAAATGAATTTAACCATTTTTTGGACTAAAAGCACAATGTAACATACTTTTTAAAAGACCAGCCCCTTAATTAAAAACCTGGGTAAACAGAAATATTTTAGCTTTACACCTAAAAGAAAGTAATATAGACACCAGGAGAGGCTCAAGGGGAAAGGCATTCCATAGACGAGATGCCACAACTGAGGAATTCCTGTCTCTGGTCACTACAGCCGCCTGGTTTTCTAAGGTAACTGCTGTGTCAAGCAACTCTCCCAAACTGTGAACCTGGCTTTTCAAGGGGAGTATAACCCCATCCAAGACAGATCTTGCATCCCAGTCTGCCTTTCTACTAACCTAGAGAACCTCTGTCTTGTCAGGATTAAGTTTCAGTTTGTTCACCCTCATCCAGCCCGTTATTGACTCCAAGCACCAATTCAGAATATCATTGACATCCTCGGAATTAGGTGGAAAAGAAAGATAGAGTTGGGTATCATCTTCATATTGGTGACACTGCAGCCCATACCTCCTATTGCAAATAAGAGATTTTCTTGTCATAAATGATGATTCTTGTTCTCATATAACCAATTCACTTGTTAAGTAGTTAAACCCAGCATTTGAATCTGCCATTATTTCAGACATTTAAACTTCAGTGGATTGAAGGGCCAAACCCCTGACTTATTTTTTCACATAAAACCACTACTGGTTTTGAATATGGGAAGGGCTAGTGGTAGTGCCAGTTGTTAGCTTCGTTCAATGGGGATGTGATATCATAGAGTTCTCCCTCTGGCACTGCCATTCCTCCAGGGGAACTGCTGTCTGGAGATCAATTGTAATTCCAGGAGAACTCCAGGCCCCACCTGGAGGTTGGCAACCCTAAATAGATGATAGCTGGGATGCTGCAGGCCACATAATGAGCATCAGAAAGCCTTGTAAGAGCTTTGACCCTCCTGTATGACAGCTTTTCATTAGCATGATTGCTTACAGTGAAGGGCAGTGGTGTACATAATTCATATCTTTGCATCAAATTCCAGCTTACAGGCCCTTCAGATCACATAAATACTGACCTTATTGTTCCTAATATTTCAGATGTGAAGAAGGCCGCCATGTCTATGAAAACACTATTGAAAATGATTGTGGAAACACGATTGAAGTTCTTTCTACTGAAATGTAGCATCATCCCGTGGTATCCTTCCTTGATTTCTGAAAAAAATATCCTCCATGCTACAAACTCCATCGTCCATACATGGTGACACCAATACTTACCATGAAATCGTATGGATTTAATCACTCTGCTAGGACTGATGACATCATGAAACTCAAAGATCTTTCTCTCTGTTTAAACCTGTATGGTGGATTCTTTTTGTTGTTGTTGTTATAGGCGAAGTTCTAAGGAATAAACTTTCACTATATGGGTTCTAGATTTTTCACATAAGGAGCCAACTATTGGAATCTTACATTTTTAAGAACCCATGTGGCCTTCATTCCTTAGCCACCTATTATTCCTACTTAGCACCTTAGCCTGATTTGCTGAATTGATGTAGCCGGCCTATAAATCCATTGTAAGTCTTCCATAAACCACTGGGATGTACTAATTCACTAAATGGGAATTTCTTCCCTAGAAATGGCTGTTTCTTCCTGACAGTAGTTCTTTGTATTGCAATTTACAAAGAAGGAAGCAGTTACACCAGAACTGTAAGTGGGTAGTATTCGTGGTGGGGTGTGTATGGTAATCTTCCACAAGGCTGCTACCATTTTATTTTTGCTCTGCTATGGAATTGCTACAGAGATAACCTGCGACTTGAGTTTGGAGAAGGACAATATGAAGCAGTATGGCTTGTCTGCTTTCTTCCCATACCTGCATCAAATGAGCTGAAGGATTTGTTACATTCTACTACATCTTGTCTCCTATTTATTGGATAAAGGTTTTAAAATATCACTTTTTTCAACATAGAAACAAAATCTCTGTTATAATTTGCCAGCATTAAAATGAATCACCATCCAATTCATATTTTAAAATTTGTCACCAATAAAGAAATGTAGAAGATAGATAGATAGATAGATAGATAGATAGATAGATAGATAGATAGATAGATAGATAGATAGATAGATAGATGATAGATAGATAGATAAGATAGACAGACAGACGGACAGACGGACAGACGCGTGGGTGGGTGGACATAGTGTGGATATTCAGAGCAACTTTTCAAGGTTTAGTGGCCAGATGTGGTCAAAATTCCAAAGGGTATGAGAGTCATAATAAAGCCTTTACACTGTATACAGTCACAGGGCAGACTACTCCTTGTCCACTGATTCCAGCCAATTGCTTAAATTCCTTAACAGTCCATGGTGCCGCTTCTTTCCCCTCTCATTGCTCCCTGCACCTTGAAGCCCAGGAGAGTATGCTACTCCTGATCCTTTTGCTCTGGACTGTTTCTATCATGTGTATGACTGGAAGAGTGGGTGGTGGGCATAGCTCTAATGAATACCAGCTGCACATGCTTGCTAAGGGCATTTTCAAATATGCAGTGAGAATCTGTCTCATACTAATTTCATTCACATAGGATTATGCCCAAGTACTATTTACTTCACAGTTCTTTGAACTAATGGTTGAACATTGTTTAAATTAGACTATCTATTTAGCTTTCCCACTTCGTAAGCATTATTACCACATGGACATTATAACCCTATTTATGGCCCCATTCAGGATTTTCTGCACTAAAGGCACGAACATCAGGTGGATTTTGGGGGCGCGATCACACTGCAACATCTGGGAAGCATAGTGGACCCATGACGTCCCGCCGAAGATGCGGAGTAAAAAAGAACCTCAGAAAGCACACCAGTATCTGGAAAATGTGGGGCAGGGGTGGGCGTCTGATCGCAGGAGCGCTAGTATCCTATAGCATCCGGCACCCGTCCAGGTCCCGTCACAAACTGGATGTTTTTCGTAAGCTCATGTGCACAAACACGTAACTGAAAGCAGTGCTGCTCCGCAGAACTGCGCATGCGCACAAATGCAAAATGCTTGCCACACCGCTTCTTTGCCACGCTCCAGCATCGCCGTGTGATCGCCAGCTAACAGCCTAAGCATGGAGACTTGGGGGACCATGTGATTGGGCTACCGCGCTTTATTTTGCTCCAGGGCGAACAGCCACGCCTCCCCCCCCCCACGTTATCTGGCCCGTGTGACTGGGGCCTATGTTATAAGGCTACAGGTGTTAGGCATGTGTCAAAAATAAACTTTGCCCTTTTTGGTGGATGCATGGTTCAGACGTGAGCAAGATGAGTACATTAGTTACTAACTGAATTTAGGGTGACTGTTACCTTTCTGTTTGTCAGGTGGCCCACAGCTGATGTAGTTCAGCCAAAAAGGTTCTCTTACTGGTGTGACTTTTGATATAGATGACAGGTAAAAGATAACCAGTTTTCATACACCAACACCTATTCTAACTGCAGCATCTAGCATTTTTAAAAAAGTGGAAGTGCTGTCCTCTACAGGCTAGATAACAATCACATTGGTGAATAACAAGTCCAGTGGTACTGTGAATAAAACTTTGCTGGTCTTAAAGGTGCCACTGGACTCAAACTTTGTTCTGCTGCTTCAGACCAAATGGCGACCCCACCTGAATCTATTGGTGAATAACACAACTTTAAAAAGCTGCAGAATTAACTGTGCGGTCCTAAGCCGAATTTCCCCCCTAAAGTCCATTGAAGTCATTGACTTAGAAAGGTGTAACTCTTAGAGGGTTGCACTGAAAATCTGAGAACAGGTAAACTGAATGGATTGATTCTCTATAAAGTCAGTAAGTTGGCAATGCAGATTGTGGGCTGAGAAGACAAGAGTTTATCTGTGTCACTTCACAACCATCTGTCACAACATCCCTTTGAATAACTGAGAATTGTGGAGATTCCATTCGATTCAACCTGAAATCCGGTTGCTGGGCTTTCCAGAAAGTGGCACCTCTGTCTGTGTGTGTGTGTACACATACGGGGGGGAGGGGAGCATTGCAGTGGTTACAGAGCTAGACTACGATCTGGGACTCCCAGCTTCGAATCCCCACTGTTCCACAAAAGTTAACTGGGTAACCTTGGACCAGCTTAGCCTAACATAACTCATAAGGTTATTGTGAGGATAAAAGTGAAGGAGAGGAGAATCACGTAAGCTGCTCTGGGTCTCCATTGGGGAGGAAGGCAGGGTATGCATGAAGCAAATAAATAAACAAATAAATATCTGTTATGTTAGAAAGAACTGGATTTCCAAAGAAAATGGGAAGAGACTGAAGTCAATGGCATTAGTTTCTTGTTGTGGGACCTGCCTGTATGTTAGATCACTTGGATTTGGGCTCATTCACACTAGCAGCCACACTACACAGCAACTGATAATTCACTGCTGGTGATGATGAGAACTAATTCTGCTGAAAATGTCTTTGAGGGCATGTGAAGTGATATGTAAGTTCTGTCTATTGTGTTTAGCAATTATTTTTTAAAAAAAATTGTTTTATTTCATAAAACATGTCCAACACCAACACCACCCGTGTGCGACTTCCAGGCATTAGAGACATAAATAAAATTCCATACAGTATTATATCACAATCAATCTCAGTGCAACTCTATTACTCTATTAACCTTCCATCTTAATCTTATAATGAAAGTAACCTCTCAATTTCCTATTAACTGACTAATTACCCCAATTTCTTTAAACTTTCCCAAATACCCCACCATCCTTCTAAACCAGTCCTCCTCCTGGTCATTAACCTTTAACCCATTCATTCTACGTATCTTCATTGTAAGATACTCTAAAATTATTATATTATTCATTTTCCCCCTCCAATGATTAATCGTCAGTTCCTCAGCTTCTTTCCAATTCCTTGCTATCACTTATCTTGCTGCTACTAACATCAAATTTATCCATTTACATTCCTCTTTTAACCTTAACCCTATATATACCATCCAAACTAATGAGTGCCATTGCTTTAGATATTCTTACCCTTCTTCCCACAATCCCCGACATTCCTATACCAATCTGATCCCAAAATTTATTTACCAAAGGATGTGTTTAACAATTATTTTATAATAATAGGTCATCACACTATTGATTGGTGTGTTTAATAGCCACATGAGTCACACCAATGTAACTTTTAATCTTACTCACTCACTCACTCTTCCTTTCTAGTTTTTGTTCAGTGTATGCTACCCTGCTATGCTACTTTTTAAAAGCTGCAAATAAAAATACTGGTATGTTGCCCTTCGGCTGTTATGCTGGGAAGGGAAATTTTGCAAAATAAAAGCAGGAGTTTCTTCTAAGACTAGTTGCATCACAGTGGCAGCTGGCCTGGCACTTGGAACATCCTTCTTGAATGCAAAGATCTCGGGACACGCTTTGGCAAAACCCCCACTGGTGGTCTCTACTCCCTTCTCTCTGGCAGGTGTAACTGCCTTTCCCTCATATGTAATGGCTGTAGGATTTGTTTGGCCCAATCAAAACACCACTCTTTGTGCAGCAAGAAAATAGCACCACAGGAGCATGAAAGGCAACAAATTTGCAAATGTGGGGTTATGTGATAGCTGAGAAGAAAGACATTGTTCCATGTATTATTCAAGGATTTGGAAATGCTTAATTGTAGACATTTTATTATAAGATACTAAATTTGTTATTAAGAACCAAAATTACAAGTAAGGAACTATGTCAACTATGGTAAATTCTGGTGTGTATTTCTTTAAGAAAACAACAATCCAAACCCTTGAAATTTAGGTGGCTCAAATTTATTTTTTCTCCGAATTTTAAGGGCTGTAAACGAAATCAAGAACTCAAATTTCCTGCTTCAAAATGAGAGTTCTGTCATACCCGATTGAATTTCAGAATCTGAAAATGTTCACATATAGAACATGTGAATCTGAATGTATTCTGTTTGTACTCCATTTCAAATCTAAATAAATGCATATAATCCAGATCCATTTTTGGCATATCTTCAGTGTCTCATTCCGTTTTATGCAGAAGCAGATTGGGAGGTTGTGGGAAAGATTTTCTAGCCTGTTCTGTCCAGGGACTTGGGCTGAAAATAATTATCTTAGGAGAACCCAGAGAGGCAAAACATTTATATTGAGTAGATAGTTGGAGTAACAGTGTCTTTCACCCAGCAAGCAGCAAAGGCCCAACTATTTCTGTAGAGGCTATAGAGAATGGAAAAATTGGTTTAAAACTGTTTTTATCAAAAACAAAGAGAAATCCCAGTTGTGTGTTTGTATGTGGTTGCTACTTTGGCAGGAAGCCTCTCTCTTTGTTGTTGTTCAGTCACACAGTCGAGTCTGACTCTTCGTGACCCCATGGACCACATCATGCCAGGCCCTCCTGTCTTCTGTCGTGCTTCGGAGTTTGCTTTATTTCATGTTCGTTACACTGTCTAACCATCTCATCCTTTGCCGTCCCATTCTTATTTGACCTTCAATCTTTCCCAGCATCAGGGTCTTCTCCAGTGAATGCTGCCTTCTCATTTGGTGGCCAAAGTATTTGAGATT